CAAACAGGTATTCAGCTTAAGTCTGGTGACCATTGTTTAGCAAACAATATTAGTTACTAAGTAAGATTAAAACTTTGAAGTTAACAATATTGATTAAATTTGGTAGTCTGAATCCCACATTGTAAACGTATTTTCAATATTGAAATCGAATGGATTATTGATTATGATAATGGTATGAAGTTAGCTGTTTTTAGTCCAAATGCTCCTTTGTAGTTCTAGTAGAGTGTAATACATAACCTTTAAAGTACGCTACAGATTTATAGGCACAAAAGTACATGCAATTTATCCATATATCTACGTTTATATATCAAATTAACCAAATCACATAATTAGTTCTGAAAATAGGTATTAAAATGGCTAAGAAACGAACAACAAAAGAACAGTTTGAAATTTATGTGCGCACTTTGGAAAATAATAAATTATTCGTGACTGGCAGGTTAAAGCCAGGTATGAACCCTGAAATCCTACAAGAACTTTGGACGTCTCTCGTTGATGAATTAAATTCTTGTGGGAGTGGACCTGTAAGAACGGTGGAAGGCTGGAAAAAGGTCAGTCGGTTTGGTTATAGCTTTAAACTTATTTCTTAATAACTGTGTAGGTTTTTACTGAATGGAAGTCTCTTGTCAAAAAAAGAGCTCGAGAAGGAAAATTACTCTCTGAAGTGGAAAAAAGATATCTGGAAGCTACAGGTGTTGTGGCTGTGTCAGGAATTACATCGGTACAAGAACTAGGTGTTGAAGACACCGAAGCACCGATTAATGCAGATGACGATGTAGTAATAACTCTGACAGGGCACCAGGTATTTATATACATAAATGTGGTACATTCTTTTAATATTTTAAACCCAATACTTGTAGGAAACCCATATTGAAATGTGTGATGATGATTTTGAGGATGTTGATGATCCATCCTCTACTCCTAAGGTTCAGGGGAACATAAAAAGAGCTACCCCAAAGACCACAAAGAGTAAGAAATAAATGTTTCCGAATATGATAATTCAATATATTACTTTTTAAGGTTCAATGAAACACCCCTTACTCAATGCTTACGCGCATGGACAAGCTGAGCAAAGGGATGGTCTTCTGGCGGTTGCTTCTGCCCTACAGGAAATTGCCCGAGGTATCCACAGATTTTGCGATATTTTTGAAAAAAAGGCACATACTTAAAATTGATTGGTCATTAATTTAATTTTTATTTACATATTGTATACTGTTTTTTGTACACACAACTTTTGATAAATATATATTTTAGAAAGAAAAACAAAAATAACTGTTGAACAATTTAAAATTTATTTAAAACAGTTAGAAAAATTTAAGTGCCTAACAGAGATACCAACTGAGGAATTTGCCAAGTTATGTAATATTCTTAATAACTCAAAGGGGGCAACCAAAAGTGTAGAGGAGTGGAAAAAGGTGTAGTTACCTTTCTTTATTTTCAGGATATATTTAAGTATTCAATTTTCTATAGAGTTTTACGGAATGGACCTCGAGAACAAAGAGAAAAGCCAGAGAGTTGTATGTACATCGGTTACAAACAGGTGGTGGGATGCCTATTGATATACAGTTAAATGAAATTGAAAATTGGCTCTTAAACATCATTACTAAACTTGTAATCAGTGGTATGGATGTTCCTGAATTATGCAATAGTAAACGAAGCACAGTAAGCTAAAATTAACTAATTAAAATTTTATTTATTCATAACTGCAATGCATCTACAGGTAATTTTTAAAAAAATTTCTAAATCACTGGAAAACAGACCAAAACAAAAAAGTAGGTTGCAAATATATATCTAGATATAGTCAATTGTAATTTCACATTTTAGAAAGAAGTAGAAGAAATCGGTTGAGTAAGAATGTATTAAGAACTGTAGAGGAATACATCAAAAACAACAAAAGAATGACATTAACATTGCACATTTTATTACAATCCTTAGAGGAGTTTCTGGCAGCAGTAAAGAGACTGCTATCTATTATGTAAGGCAAAATTTTGAGAATTATACTATTGAAAATAATCTCGAATAATTCTGTTTCGAATGATTCTTCCCTCACGTAAATTATTATGATCATTCTCTGCATTTCGAGGTTCATCATTATTGTCCTCTTCATCATCTACACGAAATAAAGCTGTGTTCATTTCACTTAATTAAAATTAGCTACTTACTATGATCAATATCGATATCAATCTCACCATTATGTATGCACATGTTATGGAGTATAGCACATGCATATATAAGTTTGGCACATTTCGCTGGATTGTAATGTAATACTCTATGCTTTGATAAGCACCTAAAGCGTGTCTTCAGAACACCATTTAGCCGTTCGATTACATTTCGAATACTTTTATGTGCTACATTATACCGCCTTTCTGGCTCAGTTAGGTTGTGACCTGAGACAGGAGTCATGAGCCATGGTTCTAAAGGATAACCAGCATCTCCTAACAAAATGATTTTGTATTAATTCTTAGACATCCTCACTTACCTATCAACCATGACGATGAATCTCCATTCTCATAAGAAGTATGCAAAAGGTTCTTAACAATACTTGTTGTCCAAATGCCAGCATCATGAACGGATCCCGGGAATCTTGCATTGATTGCCAGAATTTTTAAACGTGCATTACAAATCTGAAAATGGATTGGACTATGTAAAAAAAATGGACTAATGCTAAGAAAGTTTCTTACTATTTGTACATTAATGCTGTAATATCCCTTTCTATTCAAAAACACTATGGCAGGATATTGAGGATCTTCAACTGGGGGAGATATTATAGCAACATGGGTACAGTCAACCGCTCCAATGATTCCTGGAAATCCATGCGGCACGGTCATAAATCTGCAAGTAGATTTCACTTAACCAAAAATGTACCTAATTAAAATTAACGCTTACAATTGTTTTTCTTGCGTTTTTTCAGCTGCTGTTGAAGGAAAATGCACAAAATGTGGAAAATGTTCAACTAAAGCACCTGTTACTTCCTCTACACATCGACTTACAGACTTTTGGCTCATTGGACAGAAGAAGTCCTGTCCAACAGCCTTCTGATAAGACCCTTGAGCCAAAAAATTTAATGTGGCCAAAATCTACAACATTTATAGGACGGTACAAGAATGTACATAATCCGATTATTTAGAACATACTTTTAAATGTTTAGGAATGCCCAAAACTCTTTCATTATCCTGCAGAAAGGGTGATAAGTCTGTCATCAAATCACGAGTCAGCTGCCGGGACAATCTATAAATTCCTTTGAAGGTTTCTTCAGTAAGCGAAAATGGATCACTCATATCACGAAGTTGTCTTCTGTTTAAATTCATTCTAATCCTAAATCGCAACACTATAGTGTAAAATGCATGTATGTAAATATTCATATTCATACGTACCTTTCTTCATTGTTGATAACATTAAAAATTAATAGCATAAAATCTGCCATTTCGAATTAACCACCCAATCACACTAAGTATATAAAATTTAATACGCAGATTTCCCAATAAAAACAATAATCAATGTTGTTTACAGTACAACAAGTGTAAAAAGGACTTGTTTGGAAAGTTGGTTACATATTCAATTATTGTTTAGATAATTGAAATGCAGTGGCCACCAGACTACCAATGTAAGAAGAAGTTGATTAGTAGACAATAATTGTTTTGTAGCCAATATTGTTTGCTAAACAATGGTCACCAGACTTAAGCTGATTACCTGACACCAAGATCTCGGTTATTGCAGAAATATGGGACTGAGATAGACTGCAGCCCTATAACTGGACCTCAGTATAAAATTGGAACAGTGTGGTCCGCAAAACCACGCCGTAAAACAACCTGAGATATTACGACCACAAAAACCTAAAGAATGGACGTTTTCACAATTATCATCACTAGCTGATAGTGGGATATATGATACCAATGAATTGTCAAGACTGGGACAAAGACTCATGCATCCATATGAAAGAGAAGCTATTACAAATTACATTACACGAGTTATGCAACACGCAGACATCGAATCTCAAGATCTGAGTATCTATGACCTGATGGACCCAGGTACTCTATCAGACCTTACACAAAGCGTACTCGATAAGTTGTGGGGGTGGTTATCCATCTTAGGACAATTTACATCGGGTCTATTAGGCCTCTTCTTAATTGTCAGAGTATGCAAATTTCTGTTGGATACTTTACTACATGGAAGGGCTCTGTATATGGTATATGGTTTAAGCTACGCATTGCTAGGGGCTTTTTGGGACAGTCTCACCACTTACCTTCTAACAAAAAAGAAGAAAGAGAACCCTAACTCTGAAGACATCATCCAACTTAAGAGTGAGAATGATGGTTATGATGTTTCTGAAACCCTTCTTAAAGAAACTATTGTAACCAGACCTGCACCTAGTGCTCCAAAGCACCTCACTTGTCTATATCCTCCATTACCTCCGAAACCAAGCAACACCTTATTGAAACCAAATACATCTGCTTCTATTAAATATTCATGCCCTTGATTGAGGTTTGAATAACTCAGTCATAGATATAAAGGCCTTAAACGAACACTTAAGTATAGATTTATTGGATCCGTCTTTTATATAGATATATGTACCATACAAGTTTTGCATATATGATAATCTTACAACACAATACATCAATAAAATAGTGCAAATACTACAGGAAAATAATATTGTTTTAAAAATGATCTTTTTGTCTATTTGGTTGTTACTAATGCCTTTGATTGGAACTAATCAAGGGGCCGTCATAGGATATGATTGCACTTCGTTTCAGATCAACATTACCACCATCAGTCTAGAATCTGTTGATCAATGTGCGGAAGACACTGTATCAAAAAAGGAGGAGTTTAGTCAAGATATACAGCTCTTACAACTGGCGGAATCCTATCCTATTCACGTGACACAATGTAAGGTTCACGTTTTGAGATTAGTGTCCCATTGTGGGGCCGCTAGTGGAATGAGCGCAATGTCTGGAGGTTTACATCAGTATATTCTAGAAACAACTGCATCTGACTGCGAAGTTATGCATAGAACTAGGAGGTATACTAATGCTGTAGGCGACATAGTGGATAATCTAAAATTGAACGGGAGTGTATCGTTCACAAGCACACTTGCAGGCACCATATCGAACGGTGGATCATGTTCTGGTGCAAATTATAAAGACTCGTTTGGCGATTGGTCATACGTTGTAGTACAAGCTACTTACACAGTCACATTAACTGACTATGATGCAATTTTTGACAGCAACCAGGGTCGAGTCAACCTTCGAAGTGGAGTGATGTGTAAAAATACAGGGTCTTGTATGGATTTAGAACTAGATTATTATGTCTTTCTCCATTCATAGACTCCGACAATATCCTACGAGTCGGGGGGAGGCTTGATAATTCTCCTTATACTTATGATGTTAAACACCCCATACTGCTCTGTAGCAAACATAAATTAACGAATATGATTTTTGAATCGAAACATAAAGAGCTATGCCATGCAGGACCTCAGTTATTACTTGCCAACATTAGACAGAATTATTGGCCTCTTAATGGCAAAAATTTATCCAAGTTAATTGTTCACAGGTGTGTAAAATGCTTTAGGTTCCGATCACAACACGTACAACCCATCATGGGACAGTTGCCATCTGTTAGAACTGAACTTCAGTTTCCTTTCTTGAATTGTGCAGTTGATTACGCGGGACCAGTGATGATAGCTGATCGTAAGGGTAGAGGATGTAAACTTATAAAATCCTATCTTTGCATTTTCCAGTACTATCTTAATTAGGAAGTGATCGCTATGGTGAAGATCCTGTATAACTTCCCAGCGCGCCATGGGAGCCACAGTGTGGGATGCCATTGTTAGGTCTATATGACTGAATTTGCCCGTGTCAGCGTTCATGTAAGTAGGGGAACCGTTGTTTAAAATTACATAAGACTGATCTGTGATAATGCTTTCCAGAGCCTTTCCTTTCCTTTACGTGTAGTGGAGTCCGAGCCCCACATTGTGTTATGGACATTGAAGTCACCACAAATAATGCTTGGTTTAGGCACGGTTTTTATGTGTTCCAGAAGAGTCTCTTTGCTCCACAGCTGGTCAGGTAAGTAAACATTCACAATTGACATTTTGTTTTTTAGGGAGACGTGTACCGTGAGAATCTGGATATCACTTGTAGTTGGTATTTCTTTGCACGGCAAATTATTCCTGACTAATGTTAGGACACCACCGCACGCTCTGGGCCCGCGTGGCTGAAAATTCTTCTGGAAACACTTTAAATGTGTAGGTTTCCCCAGGTCTCAAGTGACTTTCATGTATGCAGAAGACTGCTGGCGTGTGCGTGGATATAATATCTTGCAACTCACCATATTTTAATTTTATCCCACGACAGTTCCATTGTAAAATGCATTCATTATCCATTTTTGTTACAGATTAATAGTGATTTATGCAATGGATATATGATAAATCTAAATACAAATACATAAATTAACATGTAGTTATCCATATTATTTATATTAAATTGTACACAAATATTAACGAAAAGTAAATAACTATAGTACTTATCACAGTTGTTCTTTTATCACAGATTTATTACTAGATTTATCACAGATAGATTTTTTCTTTGGCCTATAGCTTGTTACGTTTGGATCCTTTCTTTGAGTGATTCGAGGACGTCCGCCCTGCCATCCTCTCTTTCGTTTTGGCTGCGGATTTAGGTGCCTTCCATCATTCGGTTACTTGTGACTTTAGTAATACAGGCACAAGTAATAAATAACTAGTGCTGCGAAGTAGATTAGGCAAATTTGATACCTGGTCAACAAAGCTAAGGTAAGTCAGGACACACTCAGGTAATTAAAATCAATGATTTAATACCGTTGTTTGTGAATTCCAATATAGTATGATTCAAATGTGAGAAATTGTAGAGCACTTCCATTTTAAGTTCAAAGTTAAAGTTCTCGTCATTCGACCTATTTGATGTGTAATGTGTAAATTGAAATAACCGACTTTTCGTAAGGTGAGGGAAACAGGATCACTCAAATCTCATTCTGCTAGTGGTGCTAGCCTCTTGCCTCAAATTTCAGGTCAGCAAGAGTGACGAATTTTTGAAATTTTGTGGGCAACTTCCCTCTCAGCAACACTTTGGAAGCAGGATCTCCCAAACATTATCCTGCTTATATTACGAGATATATTAAGTGTCCTATTCTCCATCATTTTTATGGTATGTGTACTTGTACAGTTATTTTTATCGTTCTTTACTTTAAAACACGAATGTCCAATAACACGTGGTCAAATCCTTACTTAAAGCCACGTGTATGACCATTAGTGATAGTGCAAATTTGACTTATGGCCATACCTGTAATATCCTTAATTTATGTTTTTTATTGTTGAGAATAATGTCCCAATTCGGAAAAATTACGAAAATGAGTAAATTTCAATATTCGCCCATGAAAGTACAGCTAGTGTTAAAGGTCATAACGGAAGCAATGCCAGTTTCGACAGCCCATAAGAAATTTAGCGTTCCAAGACATTGCCAAATTGGAATTTCTCCCAAGCCATCTACAGGAAAATGTGGCTTCGATTCATTCTTGGGCAAAGAAATCGAAGGAAAATTAGTGTCTTGGTTATTAGACTGCGCAAAAATGGGATTTCCAACGGTCTTCTCAGTTCAATTAAAAAATTAGTGAACAAATTAAAATTGAAAACTCCATTTCTTAATTATCGTCCTGGGAAAACGTGGTATTATTCTTTTTTAAAAAGGCATAAGGAACTGTTGCAAATGAAGGCAAAATATTTACATAAAGGAAAGGGTGCGGTGACCGAGAAGAATAGACAATGGTTCGAGGAAGTTTCGCAAGCTCTCGGCGAAAAAGTTGGATGTTTTCAAAGAGGCTGATAGAGTGTTTAACATGGTCTAGACGTGTTTTTGTGTAGCGCCAAAAACGGGCATTATGTTAGGACCTCGAGGGAAACGTATTTATGATGAAACGCACTGCATCAGATAAAGAAAATGTCACAACGCGCTTCACCGTCAATGCTGCTGGAAGATTTGCACCGCCGTTAACAAATGATAAATATGAAAGAATTCCAAGTTCACTAGCAAAAGGAGCACCAGAAGGCTGGGGACGGTTGAGCGACCTCAGCTTGCTTCTACGAGTATTTTACAAATGTTTTTGTGCTTTTTGTAAAGGAGTCAAAGATAACTTTTTTAATTGTTTACGTTGACGGCCACGCCTCTCATCCGACGCTGCACCTAAGTAAATATTGTGTGGAAAACGACGTAATATTAGTGGCTCTCTTTCCCAATGCTATTCACATATTCGATGTCACAGTTTTTGGACCATTAAAGAATAAATAGAGAGGGTTTGTTAAGAAATACAAAATTAAAAATCAAGGAAAGGAGGAGGAGCAGATATTCCAACAGCTCTTTGTAACATATTAAAAATTATCCCTGAATTTGTTTTCTATTTGTACGTATGTCTTATGTGTTGCCTATAGTCTTGTTTACGTATTTATTGTTTGTACTTGACCTATTGACCTATTTCTGATATTT